AACATATTATCGCGTGTTTCCCGCATTTTGCTTTGGAGTTTCAGTCTGTCTGCTGAAGGGCGTCACCATCGCAAATGTTCAAACAGGATTACCTGGCTCATGCCCGACACCCACGGACTTGAGGCAGTAACTCGCATCATCGGCGGGCGTGAATGCAGAACGTCGAGTGTGTTTCTGACGTGTTTGGCGAAGCGCCCAGAGGTGCCGTCAAAGTGCTCTCATGCGTTGAGTGGTCTCATGAATAGTTGCCTCGCTTTGCAAATGGGTTGGGTTCTTCGCCAGGCTGATTCTTTACTACTCTTGAATATCCCTCCTGTAGAGGGACAGGCCCGACTTATCCCTGATAACGCTGCCCCCGAGCACCAGCGGGATCTTCTTCGGCGCCCCGCCGGCGCGCACAGGCGTCGGGGCGCAGCCGATGGCGTCGCCGAGTACGGCCCACGTGTTCAGAATGCTGCCCGTGAGCACGTGCTCGTCGGCAACGCGGCCGGCGCCCGCCCCTGCGATGAGGGCGCCAACTGTACACCTAAGCTTAGGTGGGCGCTCCCCCCGCAGGCGGATTCTGGCCGAAATGTAAAGAATAGGGAAAAACATGCAAAAATAATCCAAAATAAATCGAATAGTCGTCTCCAGACTGTTTTGTATTTTGGAGATACTCCTCATGTAGAGGGACATGCCCGACTTAAACCTGGGCACCTATCCTAGCCAGGCCCATCCTAAGCCCAGGACAAGACTGGTGTTTACGGCACTCGTGTCGTGGAGGAGTCACACCGTGTGGAGCCGTCACCATGGAACGCTCGGCGGCTATCTGATGGCGCACTTCGATCGACGTTGGCCGCTTCCGGGCCACTGGCGGCGTTGCACCTTGAACGCTCGCGCTGGGGTCGCTGCCGCGTCGACACGACGAGCCTACAGTAGGGGCTCGACCACAAGACACCTTCCACAAGAAACCCAACCCTGAGACCCCAAGACGTCCATCGATTTTCAGCGTGGGAACGTCACGCTCTCCTTCGCAAAACCATCGAAACCCAAGAAGCCCAGGACACCCTGGAGGCAAGCAGGGTGTTTCTTGGCATGGGCCTCCGCTGTACGGCAGACTCGTGGCATGGCGCCTCAAGCGTTGGGTGCTGGCACCGCGTGGAGCCGTCACCATGGAACGCCCGGCGGCCTTCCGATGGCGCACTTCGATCGACAGTGGCCGCTTCTGGGCCACCGGCAGCGTTCCACCCTGAACGCCCGCGCTGGGGTCGCTGCCGCGTCGACACGACGAGCCTACAGGAGGGGCTCGACCACAAGACACCTTCCACAAGAAACCCAACCCTGAGACCCCAAGACGTCCATCGATTTTCAGCGTGGGAACGTCACGCTCTCCATCGCAAAACCATCGAAACCATCGGTGTGCATGAGAGCCGCTGGCGCCCTGCGAGGCCTGCGTGCTGCTTCCGCCAGCACCGCTCAGCCTCGGGCATCTCGGAGCGGGCCACCTTCGATGGGCCTCTTGTCCACCACCACAAGCAGAAGGTGGAGGGGGAGGGGGTCTTCCTCCTCCTCCTCCTCCCCCTCCTCCTCCTCCTCCGCCTCAGCCTCTCCTCCTCCTCTCCTCCTCCTCCTCCTCCTCCTCCTCCTCCTCCTCCGCCTCCTCCTCCTACCTCTCTCCTCCTCCTCCTCGTCCTCCAACGCCTACTCCCTCCTCCTGCCTCCTCCTCCGCCTCCTCCTCCCTCCTCCGCCCCTCCTCCTCCTCCTCCAGCTTCTGGCGGTGCTGGTGGGCAGCAGGCCCACCGACCTTGCCAAACGGCTCGGACCGCAGCGCCCCTCGGCGCACGGGGCGCCCGGCAAGGCCGTGCGCCGTGTACACGTCGCACAGCTGGTCGTCCTCGTCGTCGTCGTCCTCAGGGGGCCGAGACGACGTCCTCGTCGTCGTCGTCACCCTCGTCGTCGTCGTCGTCGTCGTCGGCGTCGTCGTCGTCGTCGTCACCCTCGTCGTCGTCGTCGTCGTCGCCGTCCCCCTCGTCGTCGTCGTCGTCGTCGCGGTCACCCTCGTCGTCGTCGTCGTCGTCGTCACCCTCCTCGTCGTCGTCGTCGTCGTCGTCGTCGCCGTCGCCGTCGCCGTCGCCGTCGCCGTCGTCGTCGTCGTCGTCGTCGTCGTCACCCTCGTCGTCGGCGTCGTCGTCGGCGTCGTCGTCGTCGCCCGCTGATGACAGCAGGTTCGTGCCGTGACGACCCAAGCGTTGGAATCCGACCCCGCGATGATCGTTCGACCTTCAACGATCGGCGGCTTTTCTCGGCCAACTCTGGCCCACCACGACAATCAAGCAAGGAGTCGTACGCCCGGAGGTGCGTAGGACACGAATGTGGAAAAATACTGACAATGAGCATCCACAATGTACAACTCATTCTGCACTACAGCTGCAATGGTGCCGTACGCACAACATGCCGCCAAGCGGCCTCATTCGTAAGAAGTGCGATGACATTTGCCATGCCCTTCGCCATCACACTCGCCATGCGCAGTACCTGTTTTCGGTGAACGAGCGATAGCATAAACAAAACAAATCGGAAGTCCGCGCGGATTTCTCGGACCGGCGCTGGGGCCCCCCGGCGGCGCCTCCAGCGCCGCCCCTGGCGCGCTCCGCGCGCCAGGGAGGGGGCCCCAGCGCCGATCCTAGAAATACGCGCGGACCTCCGCATTTGTATGTTTATGCCACTGTTCGTTCCCCTACAGTCGGGCCGCTGAAAGAAGGAACGCTAAAGAAGGAACGCAGCCCCTTCTTGGCCATGTAAGCGCCTCCGTGCCCCGGGAGGGCGAGAGGAACAGCACTGGAGGAACCTAGGGAACATCGAGCCCCTTCCGAGCCCCAGCTGTTCCTCATTTCAGCGTCTGGGCTGCACGTGTTTGAAGGGGAAATGGGACACACAAATAAATAGACACAAATAAAAAGATTCCCCATATTTTCTCATATTTTCTGGGTTTTTGTCTTCCCCACCACTTCCCATATTTTCCCATATTTTCCAGGAAACCGAAGATCAATTGTGTCTGTGTGCTTCTTTCCCTCTTGAGTGTTGTCCAGCTGCTGGCCCACCCGCGGCGTTCCACCGTGCGCGCCCGCGCCAGGGCCACAGCCGCGCCGGCACCGGCACGAGCCCGCCGTGCTCCCCGGACCCCCCCCCCCGGGCCGCTCCCGGGGGCGCGCTCCGGCCACGGCCACGGCCACGGCCACGGCCACGGCCACGGCCACGGCCACGGCCACGGCCAGGCTTTCGAGGCGGGTCCGGGGCCGTGGTGGCGGGGGGCGGGCAGCGGTGTCGTCGGCGTCGTCGTCGTCGTCGTCGTCGTCGTCGGCGTCGGCGTCGGCGTCGGCGTCGTCGTCGTCGTCGGCGTCGTCGGCGTCGTCGTCGTCGGCGGCGGCGGCGACCTCCTCGTTCCTCGGCATGCATCCCCACGCACTACCTGCCCGGAAAAGTCGCCCATAACCCTCCCAGGACCCCGAACGTAGTATCCCCCAAGTGTTATTTGACCACCTACCAAACCACCCCAACCCAACCCGAAGACCCGAATCTGACCCGAATTTCGGGTTGGGGGGGGTAACGGGTTCCACGTGTTTTTTCGATGTTCCCCGACCCCCCCCAACTGGAAATGGAGGGCAAATCGTGGCCTTCGGGTTGGGTTGGGGTGGTTTGGTGGGCGGTGATTATTCTCAGGGCAGTGGGTTCTCCTTTCTTCCCCCGAGTCCTCGCCGTCGCCCTCGCCGACGCCGCCGCGCAGCCGCGGACGGGGCACGGCGAGGATGACGTCTCGCGCGGCAGACCCTCCCCGCCTCCAGTGGAAGCCGTCCCGAGTGCCGCTGCACCGGTCCTCGGCCGTCTCGGCGGCGCTGGGCCAGCTGATCCCGCGGTCCAGCCGCAGCCGAACGTACACCGTCTGCGCCCCTGTCGTGGGACGCGCAGAGACAAGCATGTTGGGGTGCCGCCAACGTCAGGTCGGGCATGTTCCCCTACAGGGGAATTGTTTGGCTGAAAAACAAGCAGTACTCGAAGAAGGCCCCCCCAAATGCTTTCAAAATAATCATGAGAAATAATCCCCAGACTATGCCTTCACTGCTTTGGAAGATTCCTCACTGTAGGGAGACAGGCCCGACTTAACGCCCATGTCAGAGCAGCGAAAGCCGACACCCTTTGGGCGTGGCTTAATGGGGGGGTCACAAATGGGGGGGGTCAGAAAAGGTCCCCTTTCGTGCCCCTTTCGGGCCCCTCCAGAGCCCCAGGGGGCTCGTTTAGGTACCGTTTGGGTACCTTTTCGAACCACCCTCGCCACCCCCCCCCATTTATGACCCCCCCATTACGCAGCGCCCAAACCTTCACCGGCGCGAGGAGCCCAGGGGGGGGCCTTCCCAGAGTGCCCCCCGCGCCCCGCTCGAGGCACCTCCTGCCCCCCGCTCGGGGAGGCATCGTGGGCCTCCTCGCGGGAGGTGGCACCCGCGATACGGTTGGTATGAGTAGGTCGGGAATGTCCCCCTGCAGGCGGATGTTGAACGAAAAATTAAAGATAGTCAGAAAAATGAACCACAATGCTGAAACATAGTAAAACATATTATTACTACTCGTAGTATTACTAAGAATATTATTATTACTACTATTATTATTATTAACATTAATATTATAATTATTATTATTATAATTTATTATTAAAAAGGCCCTTGAGTATGTTTCGACTATTTTTGAATATTCATCCTGTAGAGGGACAGGCCTGACTTAGCGTTGGTAGAGGAGCGAAAAGGGGCAGAAACAGAAGTGCTTGTCGACCGGTGCGGGTTTCTTGGATCTGCGCTGAACCTCTGTTCCTGGCGCGCGGAGCGCGCCAGGGGCGGCGCTGGAGGCGCCGCCAGGGAGGCCCAGCGCAGATCCAAGAAATCCGCAAGGACCGCCCAAAGTGCATGCTTGTGCAATGGTTTAGGCCTTTGTATGTCCTGCGAGCTGGTGGTGTTTTTCCTTCCTCCGGCCCGTCTCAGGGTCCTCGTAGAGCACCTCGCGGTGCGCCACGGTCACCGAGGCGCGGCCCGAGCCCTGGCGGTCCAGTGACTCCAGCCCGCCGTCGAAGAGGCCGTCTGCCCGGTCCGCGCCCACCTGCTCCACGTAGATCTCCGCCACGGCGTCGAACAGCGCGTTCTGCAGCCCCGGCTCGATCATTTGGACGCCCGAAATGGGCACGGAAAGAATGGGTACAATGCCCAACAACAAATGTTGCCCCAAACCAACAGCTGCCGCTGTTGGGCAGGCGGCCCTCTGTCTCAAATGTACACAGGCCGCGGCGGCGACACCGACAGCGAGTCCTGTTCAAAATGAACCAGAACTGCTGTCGGGCATTGTACCCATCCTTTCCGTACCCATGTCGGGCGTCCAAAGATCATGAGGATGCGGTTCAGGAAGACGTTCAGGTTGTGCGACTCCCGGAACGACTCGTCGTACTTGTCCTCCGTGTCCAGGTTGATGCCCACGCCCGCGAGCGCCTTCGACGCCTCGTCGCAGAACCTGACCCAGCTCGGCCAGTGCCTCTTGCCGGCGGTGCTCGCCCGCCCCCGGCGCGGGCCGACGAACGAGAAGGCGACGCCCGCGGTGCTGTCCGCCCCTGCCGGGCGAGGGGGCGGAGCAAAAACCTGCTGACCCTCTCTCTCTTCGGGGACCTGTCCCGCGGCAGGGCTCGAGCTGAACAGGTGGTGCTCCGTGCTCGGTTTCCCCTCGTCCTGTCTTCGTCCCGCCTCTCTGGTGCAGAGCGAAGATCAAGACGGAAACGGTCCACGAAGTCGCCAACCGCCAAACCACGGTTCAGCTCGAGCACTGTCCCAAGGCGCACCCTCAGGAGCCAAGGTAGAGGGCAGGAGATCCTCCCCCCTAATACTCACCCCGATACGCGAAGCCGTTCAGTAAACGCATGCACAGACGGAATCGAACAAGGCAGGGCTGTTTCGTAAACGCCCACTTATCGATCGGGTCCGGGTGGTGTTTTCCTCCCCTGGCAAGAGCTGCACCAGCACGAGACGTTCGGAGGTCCGTGCGGATCTCCTGGACCCCCGCCGCACCCGCCTGGGCGGGGCCTCCGGGCGCCGCCCCCGGCGCGCGAGCCGGGCGAGAGGGGGGCGGCAGCGCCGATCCAGGAGATGCGCGCGGGCTTCCGAACAACAGTGTGCACAGTGGGGGCCCGACCACAGGAAACCCTCCACGAGAGGCCCAACCCGGAGCTCCCAGGACGTCCGCTGACTTCTGGTGTGGGAACGTCGCGCTTTCCATCGCAAAACCATCGACCTTCAGGAAACCCAGGGCACCCTGGCGGCAAGCGGGATGTTTCTTGGCATGGGCTTCCACCGTATGCCAATGTCATCACAGCCGGACCTGAGAACATGAGCGCACGAGACCCCCTGCCCGCCAGACTGAGGAACGCTCGAGGGTGCCCTCCCCCAGGACGCACAAAAACATCAAACAAGCACGAAAAACATTACTCCAGATTTCGTAATAAAGGGAGGGAGGTCTCATTCCGGGGGGGTCTCTTCCAGGCTATCTTGGAGGGCCTGGGGGGGTCTGGGGACGACGTTTTGGAGGGTTCTCCCACGAGGGGGGGTCTGAAATGGCTTGTCTTGGAGGGTCCAGACCCCCTCCCTTTTATTACGAAATCTGCAGTAGGGTACCTTCCCCGAACCTGCCTCGGTCATCGGTCCGACGGTGTTAGAGTTCTGACCGGGATATCTCCACGTGGATCCAGCCGTGGCAACGGGGGCCTCGCCAGGGGCCCAAGAGAGAGCGAGGACGGATGAGGGGGAGGGGGCTCGCAGCAGCTGCACACCGCCACCAGGGGTACTCCAGATTTCGTAATAAAAGGGAGGGGGTCTCAACCCTCCCAGACGAGAAGTTTTAGACCCCCCCCCGTGGGAGAACCCTCCAAAACATCGTCCCCAGACCCCACCAGGCCCTCCAAGATAGCTTGGAAAAGACCCCCCCCCGAAATGAGACCCCCCTCCCTTTATTACGAAATCTGGAGTAATCCTGGGCCCTACGACAGTGAATAGACAGACCTACAGGCCCTCCTGGCCTCAGCCAGGAAGGCGTGTACTACTGACCTCCTGAAGGGGGTCCGAGCAGATGGGATCGCAGGATCGCGCCGCATCGCCGATGCATCAGCGATGCATCGGATCGGCGCGGAGAAAATCGAGCTCCACATCGAGCCGCATCGCCGATGCATCGGCGATGCGGCGCGATCCTCGCACCCCACCTGCTCGGAGCACATTTGAGCGACGACCAAAAACGAGCCTTACGCGAGATGACGTAGCGACCTTGCGCCGCAGCCTGCGCGGGCCGCCAGCGCAGCACGCTGCATTGGAGACGCGGGCGCTCACGCGCGACCTTGCGCGGGCAGCTTCCGCGCCAATGTCGGTGCAGACCACCCCGTGTTGTGGCGTCGCTCACTTGTTTTTGGACGCCGGGAATGGGTACGGAAAAAATTGGCACAATGCCCAACAACAAATGTTGTCCCAAACTAACAGCGTCCGCTGTTGGGCAGGCGGCCTGCTGTCTCAAATGGACATAGGCCGCGGCGGCGCGGACAGCGAGTCCTGTTCAGAATGAACAGGAACTGCTGTTGGGCATCGTACCCATCCTTTGAGCAAGGACCGGCCGTCCTGGCATTCCTATAGTCATACCACGAAATGTTTTTAGAACCCAGAATTTTCGAAGAACGAACACCATGTTCTTAGAGCACAGACCCGATGTGTTATAACAAGACAGCCCCTGCCAAAAATGTTCTAAGAACACCTCGTGGGAACCATTAGAGCAAGCCGGGACGCCTCGCCACGGCGTGAATCCTTTCCGCAACGACCCACGGCAAGGAGGCCCGGCTTCCACTGCTCCGCGGGCCTCTCCCAGGGCCTGACCAGAATCTGGGGGAGAGTCCGGCCGTGGCGACGAAGGCTCTCCACGACGAGCGCCGGCGCCCCCTCGCCGATCGCGTCCTCCTCCTCCTCCTCCTCCTCCTCCTCCTCCTCCTCCTCCTCCTCCTCCCTCCTCCTCCTCCTCCTCCTCCTCCTCCTCCTCCTCCTCCTTTTTCTCCTCCTCCTCCTCCTCCTCTTCCTCCTCCTCCTCCTCGTCGTCCTCCTCCTTCCGTAGCCATTTTGGCTCAAGTCCGTAGCGTGGCTCAGGCGTCAGCAGCGGACTGAGTTGGTGGCAAGGAGGGCGTCTCAGAGACGCACGCGGCCCCAGCAGCTTTCCTCCGACATGACCAGTCGGGGTACATCATATTCGATAACCTAAGTATGATATCGCTCCCATTTCTCACGCACTGTGATGGGAGTGCAGCGCCATGCGCCTTGGCACAATAAGTTCTCTTATGCACCTTGGGTGCAGGGTGAGAAAGGATCAGGCAGAGCCACTGGAAAAGGAAAAGGACAAGGATCCGATCAGATACTCGACTTCCCGCCTTTGCCAAACATGTCAGGCTGGTGGGGTAATCGTCGAGGGCGGCCCATGGTCGAGTGCAGCAACTGTGGCAAAAAACTCTTCCAGGACCGCCTCAAATCGAAGAATTGGACTTGTGAGTGTGGTTGCTTCTTTGATGATCATGATGTGGTTTCTCCTCTTCGCAACAAGTGGAGTTCAGGACCGCCTGCTGCCGTCAAAGAGTCTCCCGAGGAACAGATCAGGAAACTGGCCCGCCTGCTCCCCTCCAGAGCTCAGGTGGCTGCTCAGGGGCTCCTCAAGGCCTTGGATGAGCCAGCCCCCAGGCCCCCGCTTCAGCCAGGGCAGGGTCCGCAGCAGGCTTCGGCTCGAGTCAGTCGCGCCAAGAAGCAGCTTGAGAAGGCCAAGGCTGCGTGGATCCGCAATAAGAAGGAGCTTGAGAAGGCAGAGCAGGACCTCTCCGAGGCAACGCAGGAAGTGCAGCGCGCCGAGAATGACGAGATCGCGGCGGCCCAGCAGTACCTGCCACATGCACTTCCCGCAAAGAAGGCAGCCTCAGTGGACGTGCAGCAGATCCTGGACGGGAAGTTCGAGCTGGAGATCAATTTCGAGTCGCAGTTGGAGGGCCTCGAGGCGCAGGACGAGGACCGCAAGCTGCTCGATGGGGCCAAAGAGCAGTTGCAGCAGACCCTCTCGGAGGCGGTTCAACAGTCGTACGGGGCCCTGCAGTCCAAGTTGGATGAGCACAAGCGGCAGTTGGCAGAAGTCATGGAGAGGGCGAAGAAGAAGCGGAAGGTGCCAGAGACCGCACCAGCAGGTGAGGCCGCTGGTTCAGGAGGTGGGGCTTCAGCACCAGAGGCGGCCCGAGCTCCAGACCCACAGGACAGACAGGGCGTTGCTCCCCAGCCAACGGCAGTGGCGGGAAGCGGCGCTCTGGACCCACAGCAGGCCCGCCTCGAGCAAGAGGTTGAAGGTCTGGCGGGAGGTTTCCGTGCCAGTAAGAAGGGTCTGGGAGGAGGGTCGGGCTCCTGATGTTGTGGCCCAAGACGTGAAGAGTCTCTACATGCGTAATCTCTCTGGTTGGGGCTTTCCTGCGAAGGGGCTGCTGAAGGAGAGGGTCCACGATATCCTCCTATTTCCAGAACTACATCTCCTGCCAGACGAGCGCCATGAGCTTCTACATGAGTGGGGCAGGTGTGGCTACCAGGCGCTAGTGTCGCCATCGCATGCGGCCAATGGTGTGAAGCGCGCAGCAGGCATCTCGGCAGGAGTCTTGAAGCGCTACAAGTTCCAGTCTTTCAGGCACCTGGCCAACAAGCCCGTCCAGCAGATGGGCCTCCGAATGTTGGACGAGCCAGAAGCCGCCAAGCAGAAGGGCCTGGACTTCAAGGACCTAGTCGCTTTCCAGTTGAAGGTCGGGGGTCAGGCGATCGCCATCTCGGGTGTATACCTCACTGCTGGCATAGGTTTGACAGGCACAAACATTGACAAGTTGATTCAGATGGGGCAGCTGATCCAGAGCATCCGCACGCCTTGGCTGGCCATAGGCGACTACAACGCTGAGCCGACAGAACTTGTGAAGGTTGGCTGGCCCAGGCTGGTAGACGGCATCATTCGCACTGCAGATGGTTCTGATTACACTTGCACGTTGGGCAAGAAAAGGCTGATCGATTTCATGGTCCACTCGCCGTCTATGACCATATTTATTGATGCATTTGTCGTGGATGACACAGCCTGCCATGAAGGGGGCAGAGCACATATTGGGTTGCAGCTCAAGTTGAAGCTGAAGCTGGAGCAAGCATCGCGCTGGGTATTGCAACTGTCGGAAAGGTTCGTTTACCCTCCAGTGCCCAAGAAGCCCAAGGATCCAAACAGAAAGCGGTCACGCAAGCTGAAAATGAAGCAGGAAGATGAACCAGAGGTCGAAGTGGAACCGGCAACAGGACACTTTGAGGACGAGAAGGGCGATCAGCTTCAAGTCGCCACCGCCGATCTGTTACCTCAGCAACGAGGATTGGGGCATCGAAGAGGCTGAGGAGGCAGAAGATGACTTAGATGAGCCACCAGAACTGGAACAAGATGGTGAATTTCCTGGCGATGCCCAGACGGCGCGTGGTGGACTTGTTTCTGGTGGAGTTCGTGATCGCCAGAGTGCGCAAGAGGGGGCACGATCAGACACGTCCGTACAGCATGGGCATCGGCTGCTCACTATTCCGATGGAGCAGCAGGACATACTCTGGGAGACGTTGAAAGATCCAGTGGCCAGGGTGAAAGTGCCGAGCTACATCACCAACCCGTTCGCGTTCAACCTGGACGGGGAGGCGGCGTTGCAGGTAGGCGCAGCTTTTGCCGAGCGGCTCTCGCGTTTCGAAGGACTCTTTCGTGCAAGTTTAGAGGTCCACCCGAAGGACCAGCAGCGTTTTAAAGGTCGTGCGCAGCTTAGGGAGCTACAGAAACGGCCCGAGGCCCAGGGTGCCCATTTCGCTTCGTCCAGGGACCCTGTGGCCCATTGGTGGGCTACCTTGAGTTTTCTTTTGTCGGACCTTGTGGGTTTTCTGGACTATCGAACAAAGCATAGGCCGACTAGACTTTTTGAGCGCCTCAGAGACATGGCAGCCACGACGCCAGTCTCACCCGTCTTGCCTCTCACCACCAAGATTCGCTCAGAATGGGTTCGTGGTCTCCGCGTTCTCAGAGAGGCTTCGGACCAGACGATCAGAGATTTCGAAGCTAGAGCCAGGCAGAATTCTGTGAGAGCTCAGCGAGTGGTTTTGAATAACACGCTCTCGTGCTTCCACCAGTGGGCGATGCAGTGGCCGATGCTTATACAGCCGCATTCGGGACAAGACGGCGCACGTGGGGGAGGTTCGGACTGGGGGGGGGGGAACGGCTGAAGACTCCTGCCGGAGAATGGCTGTCAAGGCTGATATCCGGGCAGCTAAGTGGGCAGGCGACAGCGATTGTTGTCCCAGGGTCCGTTCTCTTTGGCGCAAGGCTCAGTCTAGGGCCAAGACGAGCCCGAGGCCCCCGCTTGGAGCCGACTGGCTCAAGAGGGCCATTTCGGCCCTGCCCGGAAAAGAAGCACCAGGTGTAGATAGGCTGTCTAAGAAGGGCTTTCAATGGCTACCGCTGCTAGGCCTGCAGCAATTAGCAGATTTTTATGCCCTAGTAGAAAAGAGGGTTTGTTGGCCTTGGCAGGCCCTTGTTGTTCTTGTTACGCTCCAGGTCAAAAACGAATTTTCCGATCGAGCGATAGGCCTGCTGGCCTGGGTGGTCCGTTTTTGGAGGCGACTGCGGACCTCGGACCGAGCTGGTTGGACCAGGGAGCGAGCAGGACCGTGGGACACGGCACTGGCTGGATGTTCGGCGCTGCAGGTGGCACTTCTCAGGCTGTTTGGAGACGAGCAAGCTGCCCACCCGGTTCTTCCAGATCACCAGAGTGCCAGCTTGCTCTGGGACGTGAAAGGTTTCTACGATAGTCTTCGCTCGGACCTGGTCCTGGAAAACGCTTTGGACTTGGATTTTCCTCCCTGCGATCTGGCCCTGGAGCTCCAGGTCCATATGGCTGCCAGGTTTCTTCGCGAGGCTGGAAGATTTTCGCAGGCAGTGCAGCCAGGCACGTCACTGATTCCTGGCAGCAGTGGCGCAGTGGACTTAGGTAGGGCGGCCCTTCATCTCGTCTGCAGAAAAATCGCCACGGGTCGCCCTCTGCATGCGCTGCACACGTGGGTTGATGGCATTGTACAGTGCATGTATGGAAACACCGACAGAGTCTTTAATGAATTGTCAAAGCTGGGCCTTGATTTGGTCCAGGGCCTGCGCGCGATCAAGTTGCAGATTGCTCCAAAGTCGGCAATCATCTCGTCTTTCTGGGTGCTGGCCGTGAGACTCAAGGATTACTTTTGTGGGCAAGGCATCCGCGTGCAGGTTAAGATGGCAGTTGCTGCTTTAGGCATTGACAGAGGCCAGGTCAAGTCGTCGCGGCCCAAGCAAGCCAGTAGGAGAGCGGGGGCTGTGAGGCGGCTCACCAGACTCGGCAAGCTGGCGAAAGGCAACCGACTCTGTAAAAATGGGCTCGTAAGATGGCTATGACCTCGGCTTTTTCTAAAGCTAGATATTCAGACAAGGTTCATGGCACCCCACCCAGTGTTGTCCTTGGTTGGCGGAGAGCGTTGGGTAGGTTGACGGGTGGTGCCTCGAAAGGGGGTAGGTGCCTGGCCACACTTCTTGCGCTGGAGTATGGAAGGCGAGACCCAGCCTTCTTTGCGATGTTCGACACTATAGAAGCTTGGTTTCAGATTTTAACCCATGCTAGCTTCGACGCCGATAAGACAAGGCGAGTTTGGAGGAAAGTCGCGACCGAGCTTGAACCCAAACCAGCTAGGAATCGATGGCGTGGGATCGGCACTCCCACTGCCGCCACGATCGCCACTCTGCTGGATGTGGGTTGGAAGCCCTGGGGTCCCTGGGCCTGGGAGAGTGACCAGGGCGAGCGGTTCGCGATTTCAGAAACCAAGCTCGGGCGAGGCAAGGTGGGCCTCGCGGACCTGTTTGAGGCTCTGGCCCAAAGTAAAGAGCGACAACTGTGGGCTGCTGCTGCGGCCAACTCGTGGAACGGGTCAGGTCTAGAGCAGGTCCCAGATTTGTATGACTTTAAGCGCCAGCTTCGCTCTCTAGCGGAGAGGGGCAAGCACGAGTGGAGAGGAATATTGGAAGCTGTGGCTACGGGCAACAGCTGGCCACGGACAAGGCTCCAAGACTGCGGTCTCACTCAGGACAGCTCCTGTAAAAAGTGTGAGGAGTTGGTGGGGTGTGACGTGCACGGTGCTTGGGGCTGTCCTAAGAATGCGGAGTTTTCAAAGGTCTCTGAGCCCGTGCGCCGCAGAGCGCTAGAGGACTGGGAGGCCAATCCTAGCTTTTGGCTGCGTGGGCTGACGCCGAGCAGCTGGACCGCCGTCCCCCCGCCCCCCGACGAAGCAGATTTTCGGACCTTTGGGGGAGAGTTGGGGGGGGCGGTGGCTGATGGTTTCATTATCGGAGGCGGTGACGCCAGCGGGGGGGCAGATTCGCAGGACCCTGCCCTCCGCCGTGTTGCCTGGTCCTGGGTAGTTTTTAGAGGCCTCCGACCAGGAGGCGCATATGATCCCAGAGAGCTCCAAGCGCATGGGGTAAGTCTCGGTAGTGTGCCTGGCTGGCGCCAGTCGGTCAACAGGGGGGAAGCGATGAGTTTCCTTGAGTTTCTGCGGGATGTCCTCCCTGTTGCAGACGGCTTCTTTGTGACAGGTTCCTCTTATCTTGTCAAGAATTTTGAGAAAATTCGATAGGGTGTCTCACCAAGATCAAACCTAGATGCGTGGCAGAATGTGCGTGACTTGTTGGCGGAGTATCCATCCAGAGGGGTGGTGCTGGCCAAAGTTGAGAGCCACAGGAACCGACCCCTTGTTTTTTCTGTTGAATGAATTGGCTGACCGAGTCGGAAGATATTAGAGTTTCAGTGGCGCTTAGGGACAGCAGGTCCCATGCGCAAGCGATTGCGTACCAAGTTCGCCAGCACCTCGGTCACAGCTTGCTTGCGTCTGTCGAAGCAGATGGCAATCACGCGCCGCGAGAAGCGGCCCTGAATCCTCTCAGACACCAATTTTGGATTAAGTTGAAGCTCACTGCTCATGAGCCAGTGTGGGGGATTGGTTCCCAGGTCAGGTGTCACACTTGTGGAGGTAGTTCGCCATGGAGAATGGCAGCCAAGTTTTTAGATACCCCTTGCCGACAGGGCCTTTTTAGGGGAATGATCCTGGTGCCCACTAAGAGCACAGTCAATGGCATTGATTTGCATAGCTCCCATACCTTGGCCTATCAGAAGGAGTTCGGGAGCACGGTCTGTCTTGCCTGTGGCTGTGTAGCCACCCAAGCGGTCAGAAAGTTGAGTGAATAATGCTCATCGTTTTTGAATAAATATGGCAAGCAGCAGTTGAGGAGAGTGCAGCAAGGCCTGCCACCAGGAACCTCAAAGCTTGCCAAGCGTCAACTGGCCCAGAAGAAGGTCCTGCGATAAACCTGTTCAACTCTGCCTGAGGCTGGAAGGAAAAGAAAAAAAAAAACTCCTCCTCCTCCTCCTCTCCTCTCCTCTCCGCTCTCCATCCCCCTGGGCCTTTTGTGCGCATCAGCTCGAACAAGCGGCTCAGAGCGCGCCGCCCGTAGCGGTTCTGCACGTCGAAGGCGCTCAGGCTCTGCACCGCGCCGTGCGCCGAATTCCTGTCCCCACGCATCATCGCGCCCAGGATCCGCAGCCGGCGCGCCACCGCAGAGACGAAGCGCACCTCGGGAGGAGGAGGAGGAGGGGGAGGGGGAGGGGGAGGAGGAGAGGGAGGAGAGGTCGGAGGGGGGGGGGGGGGGAGGGGGGGGGAGGAGGGGAGGAGGAGGAGGAGGAGGGAGGAGGAGGAAGAGAGCAGGAGGAGCAGGAGGAGGAGGAGGAGGAGGACGAGGAGGACGAGGAGGAGGAGGAGGAGGAGCGCTCGAGAAGGCACGAGGCCCGTCCGAGGCCCCGGGTTTCCCGCAGGGGTGCCGGGGCACAGGACGGCAGGGATGCGCAACTCCTCCTCCTCCTCCTCCTCCTCCTCCTCCTCCTCCTCCTCCTCCTCCTCCTCCTCCCTCCTCCTCCTCCTCCCTCCTCCTCTCCTCCTCCTCCTCCTCCTCCTCCTCCTCCTCCTCCTCCTCCTCCTCCATTTCTTTTCCTTATAAATGACTCCTTCTGAGGCTGGTCGAAAAGGCGGGCTTGGAGCGCACATCCATTGAAGGGGAACTGGGACACACAAAGAAAGACACACAGACAAACATATCCCCCCTAGTTTCCCCTATTTTCGGGGTTTCTGTCTTCCCCCCTCCTTCCCATATTTCCCCATATCTTCTGGGGATCGCCGATGAATTGTGTCTGTGTGTTTTTTCCCCTCCTGATCCAATGTCCAGTGCATCTCGGAGTTTCGGGCTCCCTTCCTGGAACCCCCGAGGCGCAGGGCACATGGACGCAGCTCCGACCCACGGAGGCCACGTGCTCGTCCTCGTCCACTGCGCGTCGGCCTCTCCGCGCCCCCTCCCAGAGCCGTCCAAGACGCAGTGGATATTGACATACAGTCGAAATCTGTACTCCAGATTTCGTAATAAAGGGAGGGGGGTCTCATTTCGGGGGGGGTCTCTTCAAGGGCTATCTTGGAGGGCCTGAGGGGTCTGGGGACGATGTTTTGGAGGGTTCTCCCACGGGGGAGGTCTGAAATGGCTTGTCTTGGAGGGTCCAGACCCCCTCCCTTTTATTACGAAATCTAGAGTATCAAGGATGGGCGGTGAAGAACGCAAGGGCCTTGGACGCCGAAATCGGCACCTGTTTGGGCGCGGCGGCCTGCCAGCACCCTGAAGGCCTGACCAGGGAAGACCGCGAAGGACAAGCCGCCGAGGCGAGGCCGCAAGGGCACCCTCGGGACATCCGTGGGGCACGAACGCACGAGACGCGAAGACGCGAGGGCAGTCCAGACAGGGCCACGCGCGCACGCTGGCCAGGAGCACACGGGCCCCTGCGCCGAAGGCCCACGCGGGCCCATGGAGATGGCCAAAACGAGGAGCGTTCCAGGGTGGGGAGCCCAAAACCCGAAGAGTGCAGAGGTACCCCTCCAGAGCCAGAGCTGTTCTCAATCCTCGCGCCAGCTGTAATGCAGCATGGCCGCTTGGGGAAAGGGCACGGTGGGACGAAGAAAGGCATGGCCCTCTGCCCCTGGGCATGCTTGTGGAGAGGGCGGTCAAGGAGTCCCGACAACGACGACGGCGACGTCGGCGGCGGCGGTGACGACGACGACGGCAGCGACGGCGACGACGACGACGGCGACGGCGGCTACGACGACGACGACGACCTAATCGCCATCCTGCATTACACCTCGACCAACCCTGGCCTGGCCCGGATTGGTGCAGGTGTATGGTTGGCGTCACCCGAGCCTCGCCCCCGAGGTCCGTGACGACGATCGCGAACTTGGGCGGGACGATAGAAGGCCAAAACGACACACAAACATCGAACTCTCGGAGGCCCGCGCGGCTGTCCTGTGCCGGCGCTGGGCCGGTGCTGCTGCCAGAAGTGGTCCTGGACCAGGGCGTCCCGAGCTCTTCGCACCACTCTGGCGCACCCTGGGACCCTCGGGGCCCTTTTCAGGGGTGCCCTTTTGAGGCCACCTGGGCCCCCTCGGGCACCCTGGGGGCACCCCTGGCCCCGCAGCGCCCCGGCGCGGCGTGGGGGAGTCCAGGCAGGCCTGGGCCTTGCCGTCGCTCGGACGTCCCTTTCCCGTGCATTTTCCGGTGCCGTGCGTGCTTTTTTTGCTCGAGGGTCCAGGATGGTCCTCGATGGTTCCCGCCGAGGAAAAAATGGCACACGTCCGAGCGACGCCAGGGGACTGGGTCGGACCTTGGAACAGGATCGCACCGGAAGCAGCTCGGATGGCCCGGATGACGTCGGAACCGGATCAACGCGCCCAGCTCCGGCTGGCCCCAGCCGATGCTGGCGGAGGAGGAGGAGGAGGAGGAGGAGGAGGGGGAGGAGGAGGAGGAGGAGAAGGAGGATGAGGAGGAGGAGAACCGAACCGAATCGAATCGGACCTGAATCGCGGCCCCAGACGGCGAAGCGAGCGGCATCTCCGGTCGGATCGCGAGCGGCCCTTCCTTTCCACGCCCGATGCCAGAAAGCCGCGCGGGCCTCCGGAAGTGTACTCCAGATTTCGTAATAAAGGGAGGGGGTCTCATTTCGGGGGGGGTCTCTTCAAGGGCTATCTTGGAGGGCCTGGGGTGGTCTGGGGACGATGTTTTGGAGGGTTCTCCCACGAGGGGGGGTCTGAAATGGCTTGTCTTGGAGGGTCCAGACCCCCTCCCTTTTATTACGAAATCTGGAGTATGTGTACGTCGCTTTCTGTCTTCTAGACGAGCTGGTTGCTCCTGTGGACGCGCCCAAGCTGCTGTATGGCCTTGTCCGCCTCCCACGGCAACTCTATAGAGATCACGCGCTGAAAGCCAGATCCCTTTGGAAATCGGGACTCCGTTGAATCGAAATGTGTTCGAACTTTGTTGCTGATCTCCGTCTGTCTCTGACAGAACCCCCCCCTGAGGTACGCGTTACCGAATAGACGAGTGAACGGGCAAGCAAACGCATGCTAACGCTAGCATAGTCATTGTCATTCTCAATCCGCCATCGCCAGCTCAGTCGCCGCTCTCTGATTATATTACACATACTCCTACAATGTTCTTCCTGGATATGTCTATTGTAGTTGCCTGTCCGCCATGTCGTTCCTCTCGCTTTACAAGTTGTCGTGACCGACCTCGTACTGAAGCCAGTGCTTTTCGCGGTACTCACATTCACACTCTCTCTTCCTTCCTCATTCCTCCTGCAACACACTTGATCCATTTCCTACTGCTCTTGCTGCTACAAGCTGGCTCTTACACGCACTCGTTCTCCTGCTGGCATTCGTCTTCGTACACGAATGTATACTAGTTCAGGCATCGATAATACAATCGTACGATACTGCGGTCACGCTACCATAATATTTCGCAGTTACTTCTCTCTCCTTCTCTCTCTCACTATCTCCTACTCGTGCCATAATCGGCACGGTTCCAAATGCGTAGTTCGTTACTGCCTGCAGTGGCATGAACTGGTTTCTGACAAATCCGCCGTAGTAGGGACGGAGTGGATGTCCTCAGCCCTCTTGCAGTCCGCAAGCATTGATCATTGCAAGCGCTGTATAAAGGTCCCAACCCATGAATTTCTAAACGTCCCCGGGCGCTCTTGGTTGCCCCTGGGGCATGTCGCGTGACTTGTCCCAGGCTTCTGACGCGTAGTTGGGAATTCTTACTTCAGCATGCCGTCAGATGGGCCCAAGTGCCCGTCCCAGGCTCTAGTCGAAGAGGCCCCCAAGATCAATCCAAGACGGCCCCCATACCCCGAAGAGTGGCCCAAGAGGCCCCAAGACGGCCCCAAGAGTGGACAAACAAGGGAACACGAACTCGAGACAACTCTGACTGGTACTTGAAGCAATCCACCCCAAGATGGCCCGAAAGACAATCAACAGGCCACGAAGAGGCGCCGAAGAGGCCCCCCGAGGCCCCCGAGAAGCTCCTAGGAGGATGCCGGAGAGGACTCCAAGAGGCCGCCAAGAAGACTTCCACGAGACCTCGTGTGACCCAGGCAAGATGGCGGGATGGGCCGAAGGTTACTAGACACCATCCCCTTCCTCCTACGATCAGCGCCGAGATTTGCGCGACCGTTTTCTTGGTATTAGCCATGTGTGCATCATCAGACTCATGGTCACCTTTCCTTTCACACACTTAAGGTTACTCGTAGCATACGTCTCACTCAGATTGGTAGAACCACTCTAAGCTACGACTGTTCTTACCAATACCCCTATGCACGCAGCAGCCCCCAGACATGCCTCTTTCACGGTGTTGCTGTGGATCCTCCTGGGCAACCCCCTGCGCATCAGACAATGCAGGGGCGCGAAGAGAGCACGGCTTTCAACTCGGCACGGGCACTTTCGTGCCCAATGGGGGGAGCGTCGGGCAGCTGCAGGCCGCTGCGCTGGGCAGATACGACCCAGCTCAGCCCTTCCCCCAAGGAGGTAGATTGCAGCGGACACGCGCGCGGGGAAGAGGGGAGGATTTGATATTTGAGAGAACGCGTTTCACGGGCGCTCGCCTTGGGAACATTCGGCGGCGCGTTTCGAAGCAGGGGTGGGCCCCCCCCCAAGACCCGACGCCGTCGATTAAAACCAAGGGGGGGCCCCTCCCCCCCAAGCCCCCCCCCTCCAGAAACCCTCCCCCCCCGTCCCCCCCCCTCCCAAGGGGGGGAGGTTTCCACCCCCACCCAACCCTGGCGCCGGCGCCGGCGGCCGCCACCAGCGCCGACGGCCGGAACGCAGCGACGATGACCAAAGGCAACCCAATTGGGGGGTTCAATCACTGTTCCCTATTAGTACGCACCCCGTCCCCCCGGCGACTGGGAGCCAACCAGGGACAATGAGGGCACCCCCCCACCATCCTTTGTAAAAAACAATACAAACACACACACACACACACACACACACTGCCTCCAAATTCGGAGCATGCGCAGCGAACCCGATGCAGCCTCCCCCATAGCATCCCTGTCAAAAAAAAACCATACACAGTACACTTGGCCGCGGCGGCGGCGGCGGCTGCGACGGGGGCAGCGGCTGCGGCGGCTGCGACGGTGGCGGCGGCGGCGGCGGCGGCGGTGGCGGCGGAAGCGGCGGCAGCGGTGGTGGCAGCGGTTGCGGCGGCAGCGGTGGCGGCGGCGGCGATTCGGCAGCGGGGGCGACGGCGGCGGCGGCGGCAGCGGGGGCGACGGAGGCGGCGGCGGCGGCGGCGGCGGCGGACAGCGGCGGCGGCGGCGCGGCGGCGGCGGCGGCGGCGGCGCGGCGGCGGCGGCGCGGGGCGGCGGGCGGCGGCGGCGGCGGCGCGCGGCGGCGGCGGCGGCGGCGGGCGAACAATACAGAGTGTACACTTGGCGGCGGCGGGCGGCGGCTGCTGCGGCGGCTGCGGCGGCGGCGGCGGGCGGCGGCGGCGCTGCGGCGGCGACGGCTGCGGCGGCTGCGGCGGCAGCAGCGGCTGCGGCGGCTGCGGCGGGGCGGCGCGGCGGCGGCGGCGGGGGCGGCGGGCGGCCGGCGGCGGCGGCGGGCGGCGGCGACGGCGGCGGCGCGGCGACGCGGCGGCGGCAGCGATGGCGGCAGCGGCTGCGGCGGCAGCGTCTGCGGCGGTGGCGATTCGGCAGCGGGGCGGCGGCGGCGCGGCGGCGGCGGCGGCGGCGGCGCGGCGGCGGCGGCGGCGGGCAGCGGCGGCGACGGCGGCGGCCCGGCGGCGGGGATGGCGGCGGGCGGCGGCGGCCAGCGGCGGAGGCGGCGGCGGCGGCGGATTCGCCCCCAGTAGCTGCCCATCCAAAGACGACTGTTGAATATGCTCAGTGCGGGCCAGACTCGGGTGCTACGTATGTGTCGGGAGGGCGGGTGGGAGTGAGCGAGACGGCCTGCGGGCGGGGAGGGCGTCTTGAGCCCCACCCCACCCCCCACCCTGGCGCCGAATGGGGGGGTACAACCCCCCCCCGCCACCCCCCCTTGCGCTGGCGCCGGCGCTGGCGGCGGCCAGCAGCGCCGGCGCTGGCGCTGGCGACGGCTGGACGCAGCGACGATAGCCACCACTACCACCACAAGCACCACCACTACCACCACAACCACCACCGCGTCAACCCACCACCGCCACCACCACCAACCCACCACACAACCACCACCACCACCACCACAGCCACCACCACCACAACCACCACCACCACAAGTCACCATCATCAACACCACCACAAAAACCCACCACCACTACCACCATCACTACCACCACAATCTACAACGTCACCACCACCACCGCCACAACCACCACCACGACCAGCAGCACAACCCACCACCACCACCACAAACCACCACACCACCACCACCACAACCACCACCACCACAAGTCACCACCTCCACAAACCACCACCACCACCACCGCAACCCACCACCACCACCACCACCACCACCACACCACCACAACACCACCACCACCACCACAACCACCACCACAACCACCACCACAAAATTATCCCGGCAAAGCAACCTAACAGCGATGTGTAGAAGCATATATGAAAGCATTCCCCTTAAGATTCAGATGAAAGTCCAATTGTAGAACTCTGCTATTTTCGCAGTCGTAGTCGCATTCGCGATGACAGTCGCAGCGGCAACGGCAGTCGCAGTCACAGCCTCAACCTCAGCCTGCCTCAGCCTCAGCTTCAGCCTGCCTCAGCCTCAGCCTGCCTCAGCCTTAGCCCTCAGCCTGCTTCAGCCTCAGCCTCAGTCTGCCTTCAGCCTCAGCCTCAGCCTCCCTCAGCCTCAGCCTGCATCAGCCTCAGCCTCAGCCTCAGCCTGCCTCAGCATCAGCCTGCCTCAGCCTCAGCCTCAGCCTGCCTCAGCCTCAGCCTCAGTTTGCTTCAGCCTCAGCCTCAGTCTGCTTTCAGCCTCGGCCTCAGCCTCAGCCTGCCTCAGCCTCAGCCTGCCTCGGCGCCGCAGCATCAGCCTGCCTCAGCATTCAAAATGTGGCCCAGGAGCGGAATTCTGGGAACTAGAAGAACACGAAGTGGCCTACAGTTGGCTCCGGACATTCAAAATGTGGCTCGGGAATGGAATTCTGGGAACTTGAAGAACACGAAGTGGCCTACAGTTGGCTCCGGGCATCCAAAATGTGTCCCGGGAATTTAGTTTTGGGAAATCGAAGAACACGAAATGGCCTACAGTTGGCTCCGGGCATCCAAAATGTGGCGCGGGAATGGAATTCTGGGAAGTCGAAGAGCACGAAGTGGCCTACAGTTGGCTCCGGGCATTCAGAATGTGGCCCGGGAATGGAGTTCTGGGAGGTCGAAGAGCACGAAGTGTGTCACTGTTTGCGAAAAACGAATGCGGCGGCAGCCGCGGCGGCAGCCTGCCCGGGTCCCGCCCAGACCCCCTCTGAGGAGTCATGATGCTCTCTTTTGAAACCACTAGAAACCTATCAGCAAGAGCTGTTAGGTAAAACACACCACACCACCACCACCACAACCACCACCACCGCCAACACCACCACCGCCACCGCCACCACCACAACCCACCACCACGACCACCACCACCACCACCACCACCACCACCGTCCTCGTCGACGCTCCCCGCCGCCGCCGCCCGCCGCCGCAGGCGCCAGCGCCGGCCCAGAAAAGGAAATCGTCGTCCCCGCCGCCGCCGGCGCCAACCGAGGAGAGGGAGAGAGGAGAGGTAAGGGGAGGGGGGGGTGAAACCCCCCCGCTCCGTCACGAGGGGGTGGGGGGAGGGGTGAAACCCCCCCCCTCCGTCACGAGGGGGGGGGGTTCGAAGTCCAGTTCCAAACCCCCCCCCCGCCCCCCCTCCAAGCGACCACAGAACGCGCTCTTTCTGACATTTGAAGCCATCGGCGGCGCGGGGTCAGCGACCACCCCGCCCATGGAA